ACAGAATAGCCTGGACTCAGCCCAAGGAGAAAGGCAGGTGACAGGAGGTGTTGGGGGCAGGCCAGGCAGGGCTGGAGCCCACAACAGAGACCTCTAGCCAAGGGCTCCTGCGTCCAGGGGAGGCCTCACAGACAAGGGCTGTCAGCTGGGCAGGTAGTCCTGTAGGAGGAGGACTGGCAGCTGGGCCAGGTGGGTGATGCTGTGCACATTGCAAACCCGGTGTGGGAGCACATTCTTCTTACTCCCCGGGTCCTTCAAATCTACCCTGTCATTCCATGTCAGGTGAGAAGGAAGATTCAGAGAAGTCAGGTCACTGATGAAGGCCACACAGCCCAGGTCTCTGAGGGCAAAATGCCGCTGCACTTCACCAGCTGAAATGAAGAGACTTTGCTTTTGAATGAGGCAAGTTCTACTCTGAGACCCTGCCTGGGAGCGCAAACCACACATAATGCCGTGTGGCCAATGTCTCCGTAAACACGTACTAACAGCTGAACAGGACTAGGGACCGAAGGGCGCCAGGCAGAGCCACCAGCACCAAGGCCAGGAGGCCTCACAGAGCCCCAGACTCGGTCGGTTCCTCCTGAAGACTGGACAGGAAGCGAGGTGGGGATCAGGCTGCAGCAATTCCATTGCCCAAGGGCTGAAAGTCTCTGGGTACAGGATGGAAGGGTCCTAAGTTCCACAGGAGGCAGAGCACAGGGAAGACAAAACCAGAAACCAGAGATTCTGGAGAGGTGAAGGTGAGTGACAGTGAGGTCTGGGAGCAGGTGTAGCAGGGGCAGCATGGAGAATGATGATCCCAGGGAAGGGTCAGGGTGTGCCCCCATTCCCAGAGGGCATCACACCTTCATGGAGAGAGTCCTCGGAGGTGCAGGACTGCCCTGGACCTGGATTTGTTAAATGGCCCTCTCTCCTGCAGAGGAGCTTTCTGGGAACACCGCTTCACCTTCCTGATACATGGGGTTCCAGCCCTGCAGGGCGGGTTCCTTTCTCATCCTAAGGACGGGGCCCTCCTGATGTTGCAACCACCCAATGGGTTCGCCTTGCCTGCTGCCCAGACAGAGCCAATTTATCAATGCAGGGGAATTGGAATAGAGAAAGAGTAATTCACGCAGAGCGGCCGTGCAGGATACCTGACTAGAGTTTCATTATTACCAAATCAGTCTCCCCGAGCATTCAGGGATCAGAGTTTTTAAGGACTACTTGGTAGGTGGGGAGAAAGCCAATGAGCCAGGAGTGCTGATTGGTCAGGGTTGGGGGGAAGCCAATGAGCCAGGAGTGCTGATTGGTCAGGGTTGGGGGGAAGCCAATGAGCCAGGAGTGCTGATTGGTCAGGGTTAGAGGGCAGCCAATGAACCGAGTGTGCTGATTGGTCAGAGATGAAATCATAGGGAGTCCCCACTGTCTTCTTGCACTGAGTCAGATCCTGGGTGGTGCCACAAGATCAAATGAGCCAGTTTATCAATCTGGGTGGTGCCAGCTGAGCCATCAACTGCAGGGTCTACAAAATACCTCAAGCACTGAGTTTAGGAGCAGTTTAGGGAGGGTCAGAATCTTGTAGCCTCCAGCTGCATGACGCCTAAACCATAATTTCTAATCTTGTGGCTAATTTGTTAGTCCTACAAAAGCAGTCTAGTCCCCAGGCAAGAAAGAGGTTTTGAGAAAGGGCTATTACCATCTTTGTTTTTAACTATAAACTAAGTTCTTCACAAAGTTAGTTCAGCCTATGCCTAGGAATGAACAAGGACAGCTTGGAGGTTAGAAGCAAGATGGAGTTGGTTAAGTCAGATCTCTTTCATTGTCTCAGTCCTAATTTACAGTGGCGGTTTCAATGTCAGTTACTCCAGACAAAGCAAGGCTTCACAGCTTTGGGGAAAACAAGCATCCTTATCCAGACTCCAAGAGAGGGTTCCTGGACCTCCCACAAGAAAGAATTTGGGGCAAGTTCATCAAGTAAAAGCAAGTTTATTAGAGAAGTAAAGAAACAAAAGAATGGCTACTCCATAGGCAGAGAAGCTCTGAGGACTGGTAACTGGCTATTTTTATAGTTATTTCTTGATTACATACTAAACAAGGGGTGGATCTTTCATGAGTTTTCCAAGAAAGGGGCAGGGAACTGAGGGTCCCTCCCTTTTTCAGACTATACATGGTAAGTTCCGGAAGTTGCCATGGTGTTTGCAAACTGTCATGGGAGTGTCTTTCAACATGCGAATGCATTATAATTAACATATGGTGAGCAGTGAGGATGACCAGAGGTCACTTTTGTCACCATCTTGGTTTTGGTAGGATTTGGCCGCCTTCTTTCCTGCATCCTGTTTTATCAACAGGGTCTTTATGACCTGTATCTTGTGATACCCATCCTACCAGCTTCCTGTGACTAAGAATGCCTAACCTCCTGGGACTGCAGCCCAGCAGGTCTCAGCCTCATTTCACTCAGCCCCTATTCAAGATGGAGTCTGGCTCGAATGCCTGCATCACCCCCAGTCTGACCACAGAAACCACAGTTATAGTTAAGAATCTAGGGTCTAGTGGGCACAGGCCCACTGCCAGGTGCTGTCCCTTCTTCCAGCCCTCCCGACAGCAGAGGCCTGAGACCTCTGAAAATCAGGAAGGGAGGCGCCGGTCTCCAGCAGAGGGACAGGGACAGCCCAGCAGTGGTCCCCAGCAGAGGGACAGGGACAGCCCAGTCCTGGGGACACTCTTGACCTTGGCTCAGGCCCCAACCTGGCTCAGCCCCCTGCTCTGGAGGGAGACAGACACCCCGAGGCAGCACTGGTGACATGCAGGAGGCAGGTCTCTCGGGAGATCGGAGAAGCAGGCACCTGCAGCTCCAGGCACTCGCCCAGTGCCAGCTGGTCCTACAGAGCCCTTCTGATGCCTGCCTCAGTTACACCTCCCAGAGGCCCCGCAGGTGCACGCATACACACATATGCACATGTGATACACGTGTCATGCAAATATGTTTATGTGACATTAGGTTAATTACACACGCCTCCATGACCTCCCTGTGCTGTGCTAACCACACAAGCCCCCTGACATACTGACTGTATTTTAATAAGTACTTTTTCTTATCCCAACAAATCCCCGAAGTTTGAGAGTATTTATAAAGTATAGCAAAGCTACATTAAATATTTAGAAAAAGTTATTTTTTAGCTCCTCTCTCAATTAAGAAAATTTTAAAAACAATATTTTAAAAAATCTCTGGCTTGTCAGGCTAAAAATATTTCTTTATTTAATAGCTTTATTTTTGCCTTCCAGAATAATGCCATCATAGATTCCAGAGAGGACCCCGTTTCTAGAACTCGAGGGTCAAGATTTGAGAGGAATTCCAAGTTCCTCCCTTTACAGTTGAGTGAGGTGCATGTTTTCCTCATTTCAGTCTCCTATTGGAGATTGAAATGCCCAGAATGGGTGGTGGATGGCGCTGAGGGGAGTCCCCTCCCCTCTGAGGGGAGGTCTCATCCTGACTGGCCCGGGGTGTGTGGCTGAGCTCTTTGCTGCCCTAGAAGACTGCCTAGCAGTGAATGGCTGAAGTGTGAGGCTACAATGCATGTAAAGTCAGTACCTGTCAATGATGTGTCATCCTGTCTAAAAGCTAGGGACCCAGGTCTATGAGAAAAGAGATGTCTGGGTGTAATTTCCTGGGGCAGCACCCCATCATTTAGTTATAAACCCTCAGGTTTGACAGCTTGCTAGTTTCTGTACTGAGGACGGGTCAGCCCCCTGGGTGGGTGGTGTGGCCCCCTCCTGCTGGCCCAGGAAGGAAGGGCCATGCCCAGGGCTGTCCCTGCTTCCCCCTGTCCTGGCTCATCCCAGGCCTTGAACCCAGAGTGAGGAGGGAAGGTGGGGATGGCTTACGGAGGGTGAGGCCAGAGCTGCATCCCGATCTTCATGGTGCACACCCTCCAGGAACTCAGAGGAAATGGTGCACATCCCCCCAGAAGTCCCAGACACTCAGCCCTCCCCATGACTTGCGTGGGGCTTAGACCAGCTAAGACCCAGGAGGGACCCTTGTAGGGGAAGGAGGGGGCCCACATTAAAACGCTCAGGGAGGGATCATGGCCTCCTTGGACGTGCCTGGATCCTCTCTGAGTAGAGGGTATAGGACAAGGGCAGGGCTGTTATGAGAGGGATCAGGGACCCAAACAGGCGGACAAGGGTCAGCACTGGCCGATGCCGGGATGTGGAGCCTCCAAAAGCCTCATCGGGCTGAGCTGGCCAGGGACTGGGGACAGGGGAAGGGTCCTCAGGAAGACCAGGAGGTGGCGAGAGGAGAAGGCCAGGTGCCGTCCTCAGCAGACACAAGCTGCTGCACTAATACACTTTGCTGTCTTGCAGGCGGCTTGCCTGAGAGAAGCAGGTGGAAGGGCCCTTGGCTTTCTGATTCTAACTGCACTGGGCTCAGCTGCAGGGCAGCTTTGGGCTGGACACTCATGGCCAAAAGGAGGATTCTTCCCTTCTCAGGAGTGCTCGGGTCCCTCGCACCTGCCTTGTATAACCACTCTCTCCATTTTGATGAGGGAGTCACAGGCACACTCTTGCTTTGGCTTGTGAGGAAGTAGCGAGCAGGTCCCACGAATACCCAACAGAGCGGGCGACAGGAAGCCTGGGTGACGGGGGTGAGTGGGCAGAGCTGCGGCTGGGAGGCTGGGGGCCTTGGACAGGCAACAGCATCTCTGAGTGCAGGAGAAACCTCCTCTCCAATGCGCCTTCTCACTTCCCCACCATCCAGCTCACAGAGAAGCCCAGATGGTCGAGCCCCAGGAAGGCATTTAGCCTGCCCAGGGACCAGAGCAGGGCTGCACTCTGAGCCCATCATAGCGTCCAAGTCTTGTATTTGCTCTTAAGGAAGGTTCCTACTGGCATGGTCAGAAACACATTCTTACTTGTTGCCAAGGAAAGACAGAGGTTTGAGGTGAGTTAACGTCACAAATCTGGAAGGGCCGATTGTGGAAACAGAGCAGGATTTGAACCTCTTCCGCACAGCAAGACAAACGCAATTTAGAATCACGACATGTGTTTCTTTTACAAACCCTAGGGCCAAGCTCCCAACCCTACCCCCCACCAACTGTGTGTGGAGGCGTCCTGACCCTGAGGCCGGCCTGGGCTAGGCAGGTCGCACCTTCATCTCTGACACCTTGTAGCTGTAATTGTATCCTTTCCCCGACTTCCAGTTGATGCCATTTGCAAAGCTGTCGTGAGCCCCCCTGAGGTAGCGACCATTCAGGTTTGACACATGGCAGGTTCTATACCACCAAGCTCCCTGATACATCACAGCACAATTTCCGGTGCTAAGGTCATTGTCCTGGTCTTTGGTGGAGAAGGAGTGGTTGTTGTGGGATGTCAGGGAATCACCTGTGCAGGAGGAAATGTGAGCATCATTACAGGCAGTAACATCGTTATAGGCAGTATAAGTCTTTATACCTGAAGCCTGGCCTGGTGTGTCCTCCATGTATGGTTAATCAGGTTGTGCACTGCACAATCCAAGAAGTGCAATCCGTGACTCCAGTGAATACTACCCTGCTGTCGGCAGTGGTCTTGGCAATTTGTCTTTAGGTCTAGCCCTGCCACCGAATGTGCACTATTTTATTTCACAGAAGAACAGGAGGCAGGGGTCGGGATCATCATTCTCTACTCCGGATTCCACCATGGCAGACCCCTTCCAGCCACACCCCACAGAGATATCAGCTGCTGTCGTGTGCATAGGTCCCTGCTCTGCAGAGATTTCCTTCCTACCGGATGTCCTTGCTGGGGTTTCTGCAGTCACGCGCTGATGTGTCCCGTGACCCCCCACGCTACACAGAGCGCAGACATTAGTGTCTGCATGTAGAGACGGACAAACCGGCTCAGAGGTGAGGCGTCTTCCGCAGACCGCCAGGACACTGAGCACGCTCTCTCCACTTCCCAAACCCCCTCAGAAGCCCAGGCCGCACAACCCCAAGCAGACACTCACCCGCACTGCCCTCCACAAAGGCCCCCAGGACCAGATTGTACTTCTTCTTCTCGTCGGCCACCTTGAATGATCTGTACTTAGCAAACTGGTGGTTGTCCTCAAAGTCCACCAGGTCTACACGGAGCTCGCTGGTTCCTGTTACAGGAAGGTTTCAGGGTCCCAGCAGAAGGACCCTCTACCTTTAGACATGGGAGCTGGGGATCTGGGGCAGAGCCTGGAAGGAGGTCTGGACTCCATGGAGGCAGAGGGCAGAGAGCACCGCAGCTTCCCCAGGGCCTGTGTAACTCTGACCCGGCAGGGTGAGCTGAGCAACAGGGCGAGACTCTTGACTCCCAAATCCTAGCGGATTAGAGGCAGAGTTGGGGTTGGGCCCAAACTCCACTATGGGGCCGCTGTGTCCTTCCTTCCCACTCTCAGGGTCTGAGATGCTAGTGGGGCCAAGACCAGAAGAGGCTTTCAGCCCAGAGCTCTACCCTCTCCTGTCCTGATGCCACCAGAGCCTGCGGCAGGGGACGCAGCCCTCGGAGGTCCCAGTGCCACCCTGAGTGTGCTCAGGGCCCGCTCCCCTGTGGGCTAAGAGGCGCTTATGTTCCAGGCAGCCCAGGCCTAAGGGGCAGGGGCACCCCCATTCAGGGCCCCCTGACCCCCAAGCCCCAGCAGTGGCCCTACCCTGGGCGGTCAGGGCGTGGATGTTGTCGTTCCCCAGCCAGAACTCCCCCAGCCGACTGCCAAAGCCCTGCTTGTACGCGGCCCAGTCCCGGTAGAAGTCCACGGAGCCGTCCACCCTCCGCTGGAAAATCTGTGGAGGAGCCAGGGGACGGGAACCGGGGGGACAGACCGACGTCCCACAGCACGGGGGACCCGCCCTCCAGAGGAGCAGCATTTGTAGTTGGCAGAGCGTCGCAGGCTGGGGTCCCCAGCACGCCCACCTGGTCTCCTCACAGACCCCACGGGATGAAGGAGGAAATGGGGGCTCAGAGAGGGGAGGCAACAAGCCCCAAGCCACATAGCAGGAGAGCACCAGGCCCCTCCCAGCCTCTCCCACGGCCTGGACTTTTACCCACGGGTCACCTCCCCCATTATCTCTGTCCCCGACCAGGGGAATAGAGAATTCCAGAGTGTGTTCTCCGGCCAGGTGTGCAGCCTGGACTCCGGGTCTCCCAGGCTGACCACCTCTGCCCAGGGCCCCTCAGTCTCCCACTCACGGTCCAGCCCCCTCCGTCCGTGTCCATGTCACAGAGCACAGTCAGGGGCCGGCAGTCAGGCAGGTAGATGGTGTGCCAGCCGCTCAGGAAGTGCCCTCGGTCTAGCAGGTCCTTGCAGGTGCGTGGGCCTGAGAAGCGAACCCAGGCAGTGGCTGCAGGACAGGGGCCTTGGGCAGGGCAGGGGCAGTGGGAGGGAAGCCCAGGAGGGAGGAGCAGAGCCATAGGCGTCTGTATGAACAGAGCAGAACTCTGAGGCCTAGAGAGAGACACGGCCCCCAGGGCCACACAGCTGTGATGGCCACACCCAGTCGGCCTGACCCTCCCACCTCCCAGTGTCACCCCCACCTTCGGCTCCTGGGCTCCCGGCCTTCTGGGGTAGATTAGAAGATAGGAGAAAATTGCCATGAAATGTATGTAAGTTGTCTGGACAATATTTGTCACTTCCTTGAATAATTAGAGGACAAGGAAACGGGCAAGCAACCATTTTCTTTTGTTCCTATTTGTCACTTCATTCCGGCAGTGGCGTCGTATGACCCTGAACTTCCAGACAAGAGCAGCCACAAGCCGTGGGGGAAAGTGGGGATGGCCAGTCACCTGTCAGGCACGGCTGGGGCTCCCCAGGTGCTCCTGTTCGTGGATGAGAGAGGACACACGTGTCACAGTTTGGAAATCAGAGCCCTTCAGCCCCCACTGGTCCACGGACACTGCGTGGAAAGTGGAGACCATTTTCTGGGCCTCCCCAGGAGGAGATGGTATGGGTCCAGTCAAGTAGTCCCTGACACTGCTTCTGTTGACCAAATTTTTCTTTCCCTCGAGGGTTACCTACACTGGCCCCTCCACCACATGCACCCCTTTCGGAGGTCCCTGGGGAAGGAGACGCCACCATTCCAGAGACTGCTGAGGTCTCCACATGCCAAATAGAGGGAGCCTGGATCTTCAGGGTTCTCTTGAGGTCCCAAGGCCTGCAAACAGCCCATCTTGGTGGACACGGTGATATGATGGGGGTAGGGTTGTTTGGGGTCTGGGCACCAACCCTGCATATTTTACGTTTAGACACAACCCATGACTGAGCCTGGGGTTTGGTGAGTGTAGGGTGGTCTTATCCTGAATAGGTCTGTGGGTAAAGGTGAGTGAGTAAAGGGAGCTTCAATTTCCGACTGCATATTTCCCTGATTCTTCAAAATATTCCTCAAGAAAATATATCAGGAAATTCTTTGTTTTAAAGCAGAGAATTTCTAGTAATTCTGTATTTGGAGCTTGTTGGCATGGTTCTCCAAGCCATCTGGGGTTGATCCTGGTTTTTGAGCAGAGTCAGGAGGAGGGGACAAGACAGGGCCTCGTGCTCAGGGGACAGAGGCCAGGATTGAGTGGGTCTCAGAGGAGTGAGCAGACACTCCCATCCCAAGACCATTTCCACTTTAGAGGAACAGGATTGGGCCTCAGACCCACCCTCAGGGCAGATGCTCCTGCATTGAAAACCTTCCCCTACCTGAGAACCTCTTCCCCCATACAGACAGCCCCCCACTAAGAACCCCTCCCCACACTGCAAGTCCCTCCCCCAATAATCAGAACCTCTCCCCACCCCAGAATCTCTCCCCCATACTGACAGCTCCTCCCTCCATGCTGATAACACCTCCCCACAACCGGCCCACCAGGAACCCCTCCCCCAACACGCACCCCAAGAACCTCTCCCTACACCCCCAAGAACCCCTCTTCCGACACTGAGAACCCAGCTCCCACACTGAGGACCCCACTCCCCCAAACTGAGACCCCCCCACACATACATTGAGAACCAGCTCCCATACTGAGGACCCCACTCCCCCAAACTGAGACCCCCCCCACATATTGAGAACCAGCTCCCATACTGATGACCCTGCCCTGGACTGAGCCCCAGGAGCCCTGCCTGGGCAGGCGTTGGCTCCCGCCGGAGGACAGTGTCGGAGGACAGTGCCGGAGGACAGCGCCGGAGGACAGTGCCGGAGGACAGTGCCGGAGGACAGTGCCGGAGGACAGTGCCGGAGGACAGCGCCGGAGGACAGTATCGGAGGACAGTGCCGGAGGACAGCGTGGCAGCCCCAGAAGGCCCGCCCACATTCCTCTGCAGCTGGGTCTGGAAGAGCCTCAAAGCCCCTCCTCACTCTTGTCCCCTCCTTACCCTTGGACCCAGGTGGTCCTGCCTTCCCAGGAGGTCCAGGGGGGCCGCGTTCTCCTGCAATTTCCAAAGACACTGCCTTGAGCAAAACTCCCCGGCCCAGGATCAGAGGGCCCACCCTGGAGCTGGCGGCTGCCATTTCCAATCATGACCATGACCCTGCTCCTGCTGCGATGTGACTGTGGCCCCGCCCGGGCTTGCCCATCCTGCACCAGAAGGTTCTAGACCCAGGACCCAGGCCTCACGGGGCTCTCCTGTTCACTCAGGGGCCAGGAGCTGGAAATCCAGAAACCATGGATGGAATCCTGGCTCTTTTCTTTCCAAGTGTGAGAACAGAGGGAAATCCCTGGACTCTTTGAGCCCCAGTTTCCTCATCTGAGACAGGCGGAGAAGAGCGTCGTGGCCTCCGGGTTGAGGTGGGAAGGCGGAGGGACATATAACTTAGAAGTCGTGCCGGTGGCCGAGCAAAGCTGGAATTGGATCAAGGACTAGGATACAGAGCTACAAAAGCGTGTCCAAATGTGAGCTCATGAAATAGTTAAGAAAGATGCTCCCTCCATTTCAGAACCCTGTTGGGCCCTAGAAGTCAGCTCTGCTCCTGGCTGTAGCAGGGACCCGACCCAGGCTCTCAATCCAGGAACCATGGGGTTGGGGGGTGCCCAACTCAGCATCTAATTTCAAAAAGAGCAAGAGCCAGTGCCCCCCGCCATGCCTGGCCTCCTGATGCGGCCCGCACCTACCTCTGTTTCCATTGGTGCCTGCCTCTCCCTTGGGCCCAGGGGCCCCGGGCAGCCCCGGGCAGCCTCGGAGAATGGTGAGCTTGTCAGAGCCCTCCAGGCCCACCACCTTCACCTCTGCAAAAAACACAGGTGGCCACTTAGTGTCACCTGGGCCTGAAGACTCCACTGAGCCACAGACACACCACTCAACTGAAAGGCACCTGCCACCTTGGTGACATCAGGACTGGGCAGATGGCTATAGCCACAGCCACCTCCCCCAGCTGGAGGGTCACCTGGAAAGGAGGTTTTCCTGCTCTGGTGGCCACTAGGTCTGTCCTCACCTCTCGGGCACTGGTCAGGCAGGAAGGTGATTTGGGGCAGAACCCTGGCCTTGGAGGCTACCCTGCCCGAAGGCAAGCCTTACTTCCTCAGTACTGTGTGTCCTGAAACAAGTCCCTTAACCCCTCTGAGCCTCTGTTTCCTTACCTACCTAGGGGTGCAGGTTCATTTCAGCTCCTACCATTTAGGGTAGCATCCTAATCTCGTCTGTTCTGTAATCAATATCGGGTGAGAAGGACAGGGAGCGAGGGCTACCATCGCGACTCCCACGCCTGATTTCGGAACAGATCTGAGAATGGATGGGCTCCTGTGGGTCCACCTCGTTCCTCCACAGAGGGAGGCGTCCTTCAAGGACACAGAACAAGTTGGTGCAAAACTAGAACTGGAATGCAGCTTTGTTGTTTTTAGATAACTCAAATTCAAGTTAGTGTATTATGAAAATAACACGGGCTATTATTTGATCATTTAGAAACTCTAGAAGTGTTTAAGGAAGAAAATAAGGCCACCCTAACCCCACTACTCCACAACGAGCCAGCAGGAGTTTCCAAGCGAATTTCTGCTGTTGCTGGCCTGTGTCACACTTCACTCCACTGACTGCTTCTTGAATGTGATGCCAGCCACAGCACACCCCAGATCTCTGTGTCTCGCATGCGTTCCAGAAATCCCGACACGGATCTCTGCAAGCATTGGGAGCGTCACAATTCCTGACCCTCCATCCCAGCCTCAGGTGGATGAAGTCAGGACCTGACTCCAGGACCTGCATTTTCAACCTGCCCTCCCATGCATTGAAGCCCATGGTTTGGCACTGCAGTGTCCTCTTGGGAGCCCCGAAGGAGGTCCAGAACTCATGGGGACAATGCCACCTTTATTGTGCCACATCAGGGACACCATGGGAAATGTCATCTCCAGAGCCCAGCAGGTGCTGGACGGAAAGGTCCCACAGTGCTGGTTGCTCATCCCCGCCTGACACCTTGTCTCTCCGTGATGGTGATCATGGCAGAATATCTGACTGGTGTTTGTCCAGCTGGCACCAAAAGCCCCCCCTCCCCACACAACACCATGACTGCGCTTTTTACGCTTAGAGAGGGACATGTGGCCCAGGGAGGGTGGAAACCTGCCTCGGTTTCCATTATGGGACGGCAAGCAGAAGAAGCCCCATTTCTGAGATGCCACATCCATTCAGGGCCTCTGCATTTGTTCCTATAAGATGAGGTGTGCAGAGCTGCTGTTGTGCTGGACGATGCACCACATGGCCTGGTGCAAGGCCTGGAAGCCAGGAAGCCACCAATCACGAAGCTGCCAGCTTTCAGGGACGAGAAGTTTCCAACAAGAGGCCCTGGAGTGCCCTTACCTGGACAGGTGTCTGCCGCCTGGACAGCCCAGGCCAAGCCCAGGAAAGTGAGCAGCAGGGTGGCAGGGCCCAGGACCCTCACAGCTCTGTCCAGCTCCATCTCTTCTGGTCTTTGCTTCAAGAGGTCCCTGCGCTCTTATAGGGCTGGAGGAGCCGGCCTCCCTCAGACTCCAATTTCTCATCTTCCGAGTGACAGCCGCTTCCTCTCCATGGGCTTGGTGACGCCAGCAGGAGGTGCGAGATCATCTCCAGGGCTGCTCCCTTCCCCCCCGCTCCTTGGAGATACCATGGGGACTCTCATCCCTGCAGGGGGACGGTCTCTTTCCAGGGAACAGGCTGACTTGCTTGTGGCCTTGCGCAAAGCCCGGGCCCATCCTCCCACCTTTGTTGGGCTTTGAGCAGATGACACCATGAGCTGAGAATGGGGAACAAGGAAGGTTTGCTAAAGACGTTCTGCTTCAAAGAGGTCCCTCGCCCTTATCCAAATACCTAGAGTCCTCGTGGCCGGAGCTGGTCATGGACCACGGGTGTGGGCCTTACATAGTAACCCTCACCATGCCATGAGCAGACTTGGGACGTTCCTCAGGAGGCTTGGAAACTGCCACTATGAGGTCCAGGCAGGCTGCCAGGGTGAAAAGGAGAGGAAAATGCCTGTGTGTGTTCACTGTTTCCTGGGGCAGTATGTAGAGCACAGTGGCACACACACAGGAGGGCAAGGACAGAAGGGTGGGGAGCCTGGGGGACTATGACCCAGGTGCACGTCTGAGGGGAAGACCTTGAGGGTGAATGCGGGGGCTTAGCCTGTAGGGAGGATGAGAGGAGGCGAATTTCACTCCTAGGGCCCAGGGAACCGCCTGAGCCCTGAGGCCAGGCATCCCACCTGTAGGATGGCTGTGGACGTCAGTGGTTGTATTCACCTTTTGGAGAAGAACTGGCCTGAAGGTGCACTCTCACCTGGGACTGAGCCAGGTTAGAGACAGTAGCAGGTGGGGCCCCAGAGGCCGTATACTTAAAGTCCCCAGAGACAGAACCGGCACTGCACCTCCCATTACCACCACCGCACCCTGCTACCTGCCGCCATCGGGATGCCGGGGTGCCTCCTCCCTTAGCAAGATCAGTAGAAGCCCAGCAAAGTCATGCAAGAAACAAAATCCCATCGGATATTCCTTCAATGCCCATGGAGATGTGTAGTCCTGAGATTATGACTAGTTAAGACCCCCCCCTCGGGTTCCATGGTGTTTAGGGCAGACCTCTCAAGACTTAAGGCTATGCCAGATACAGATGAGGTCCAGGGATGAACCTGGGGAAGACACAGGCTCATGGAGGTGCAGATATGGAACCGGGGAAGATGGCTTGGAAGCGTCTTCCTCAAAGTCCTGAAGTCACCTGCAGAGGAGCCAGGTCCCCGGAGCTGCCCAGTGAAACCCCAGCAGCCAAAATTTCAGGTCCTTAGGCAAGTTCCTTTACTGCATGCTATTTGTCCTTCTTAATAGAAGCATCTTTCAAGCCTGGATGACTTATAATTATAAGTCTAGAAGGCTTTAAAAGCTCAAAGACATTATATTAATATTTTAGCGTTCAGAAATCTAAAAAATATGCGTTTAAAGTACTTGTAATAATCAAGAGAATTTGGCCTATTGGAGTGGGTACAGGGTAACTTCAACAGAAAATGGTCACTTGAGTAATTGATTTGACAGAGTGCATTTATGCAGAAACCTTACTGAATTCATATAAACTATTGAATCCGTTTATTGGAACTCTGAGTTTATCACATGGTGAATTTAAAAGATTACATTTCTAACAGTTCATATTCAGAAGAATTTTTTAAAGTTAGACAAGGTACTAAAGGATGAATGTGGGTATATTAAATGTATAAATGCAGTAACAATGTTTGAAGGTGTTTAGTTAGCTAAGTTAGGGAATGGACCAGGAATTATTCACAGGTTCCTTATACGTGGTTATTAAAAAGATAGAATAATAAGATTTATAAGTCACACTTTAAAAATGAAGGCAGAATGCAGCTTTTAAAGTGCAATTTTTTTTTTTTTTTTTTTTTGAGATAGAGTTTCACTCTTGTTGCCCAGGCTGGAGTGCAATGGTGTGATCTCGGCTCACCACAACCTCCACCTCCCAGGTTCAAGCGATTCTCCTGCCTCAGCCTCCTGAGTAGCTGGGATTACAGGCATGCACCACCATGCCTGGCTACTTTTTGTATTTTTAACAGAGACGGGGTTTCTCCATGTTGGTCAGGCTGGTCTCGAACTCCCGACCTCAGGTGATCCACCCACCCTGGCCTCCCTAAGCATTGGGATTACAGGTGTGAGCCACCGTGCCCAGCCCTAGAGTATGATTTTTAATAAACGGAAATAATTAAATTTGAATTCGTTTTAGAAAACAAAGGAAGACCTGAAAAGTCTTCGGTGAACTCAAAATTGCCCACAAATGATAACATACAAAAACCAAAGCCCTCACAGGCACCAGTATAAATGTTGGTGGGGGGTGCTTCCAGAGGTCATGTCACTCGTTACGGGCGAGGAGGCTGAGGCCCGGAGAAAGGCAGAAGGTCCTACAAGGCACATGGCCAGTCCATGGCTGAGCCGGCATCCAGCCCCAGCTCCTCAGGTCCCACCCCAGGGCCTTTTCTACCCCCCTGTGTTAATCAGGATTATTTTAGAGGGATGGAACTAATAGGATAGGTATATATAAAGAGGAGTCTATTAAGTATTAAATTATAGGATCACAATAGGCTGTCTGCAAGCTGAGGAGCAAGGAAAGCCAATCTGAGTCTCAAAACTAAAGAACTCGGAGTCTGATGTTCGAGGGCAGGAAACATCCAGCACGGAAGAAAGATGTAGGCTGAGAAGCTAGGCCCATCTCACTTTTTCATATTTTTCTGCCTGCTTTTTATTACTGGCAGCCGATGAGATGGTGCCCACCAGACTCAGGGTGGGTCTGCCTTCCCCAGCCCACGGACTCAAATGTTCATCTCCTTTGGCAACATCCTCTCAGAAACACTCAGGATCAGTACTTTGCATCTTTCAATCCAATCAAGTTGACACTCAGTAGTAACCATCACATCCCCCTTCCAGAAGTTTCCCTCCCACACAAGCTACTTCTGTGCCTGAGCCCAGGTCTCCACCCTCAGGTTGCCAGCTGTTCTAGGGCAGGTGATGCTGTGCAGAGGAGATGGACCAGGCAGGCATGGATCCTGTCTGTGAGGTCTCTAACGTGACTACCTTCTCACAAAGGCCAGGAGGAGAGAAATGGAGAACGCGGCCATGAGACTCTTGTAGCAGACAGCAGTGGCTTCATGTTTCCAGAAGGTAAACTGTGATAGTGGAAAGAGATTTACTACAAATTCTAACGCGGCCACTGAAATCACAACTTTCTACAGATTCCAGCCATGCAAAGTGTGTTCTCTGACAACGATGGAATTAATTAGAAATCAAGAAAAGAAGTGTGTCTAGAAAATCCTCCCAAATATTTGGATACTAAATAACATTCTTCTAAATAAGATATAGGAAACAGAAGAGGCCAAAGGAGAAATTAGAAAGAATTTTGAATTGAATAAAAACAAAAAGGCAGTAAAATACAGTTTGCATGGTGTTCCTAAAGCACTCCTTGGGAGGCAAATTACAGTGTAAAATGCCCACTAAAAAGGAAGAAAGGCCTCAGGTTAACAGCCTCTGCTTCCATCTCAAGACTAGAAAAACAAGAGTAAATTAAATCTGAAGTAGAAAGAAGAGAATGAATAATAATGAAAAAAAGCAGAAAATCAATACAACCTGAAGCCAATTCTTTGAGAAGGTAAATAAAATTTATAAACCTCTAGTCAGACTGAAGAAAAGAGAAAAAAGAGAGAGAATGCAAAATATCACTATTAGGAAGAGATCGATGACCTCACTACATCTTCTACAACTGCTAGGAATATAAGGGGATATTAAAACACTTTAGCACCAATATATTCAACAACAGAAATGAAATTGACAATTTCTTTGAACCACCAAAGTCACTCAAGAAATACATAAGTCGAACAACTGGGGTGGTGGCTCATGCTTGTAATCCCAGCACTTTGGGAGGTCGAGGCGGGTAGATCACCTGAAGTCAGGAGTTTGAGACCAGCCTGGCCAACGTGACGAAACCCTGTCTCTACTAAAAATACAATAATTAGCTGGTGTGGTGGTGGGCACCTGTAATCTCCGCTACTCAGGAGGTTGCAGCAGGAGAATCGCTTGAACCCAGGAGGCGAAGGTTGTGGTGAGCCAAGATCACGCCATTGCACTCCAGCCCAAGTGACAAGAGCAAAACTCTATTTCACAACAAAACAAAACAAAACAAAACTATACATATAAAATAAATTGAAATTGTAGTTAAGCCTTTATTTTTATTATAAAGAAGTTTATCAGGATAATGTGGTACTGATGTGAAGGTAGACATATAGACCAATGGAACAGACAAGAGAGTCCACGAAGAAATAGACAGTCTGCAGAATAGACAGCCCAGCAAAAAAAATCTCCAGGCCCAGACAGCATCACTTATGAAATCTACCAAATATTTAAGGAAGAGATAATAACAATCCTTCCCACATTCTTTCTGAAAATCAGAAGGTTGCAACTACTTCATCACTCATTCTATGAGGCCAGCATTTCTCCAATAGCAAAAGTATATAGAAATCATTGCAAGAAAAAAGTAACTATAGACTGATAGCCCTCATGAACATAGATACCACAATTGTAAGCAAAATTTTAGCAAACTGAACCCGTCTATGAAAATAATGTATCATGAGCAAGTGAGGTTTCGCCCAGGAATAGGATGTTTGTTTACCACTTGAAAATCAATGTAATTCTCTATCTTACCAAATTAAAAATGATATATGATAATCTCAAAAGAAACAGAAAAAGATTTGAACATTTTCATCCATTCTAGATGAAAAAAGGCTCTCCAAAAATAAAGAATAGGAAGTATTCATTTTCTATCATTGTGTAAAGAATTACCACATATTAGCAGCTTAAAAGAACACCTGTTTATTATCTCATAGTTTTTGTGGGTCAGGAGTCCATGCACAGTTTAGTGGGGTCCTCTGCTAAGATCTCAAAAGCAACAATCGAGGTATGAGACAGGGCTATAAT